AGGTGGGAGACAATACTAATACGGTTGTAATCTTAGCTGCTGCGTTACTCGAACACGCGGCTCAGCTCATCAGCATGGTAAATTTTCTAATTTTTCTTACTTGACATATGTTTTTGCAAAGTTCACTTGATTCTTACCTAAGGTTGACTTTACGTTATTCCAGGGTCTTACACCACAGGAAGTGGCTTCTGGATATGAACAAGCCGCTGAGAAAGCTTTGGAGATTCTTCCAACTCTTGTTGTCAAAGAAGCGACTGACTTGAGAGATCTCCCCATGGTAACTTTGTTTCGGTTTCACCGTTCAGTAATTTGATGCTTACGTAAATACAGGTCAAAAAATTCTTGCGATCTGCTATCACTTCGAAACAATACGATAATGAAGAGATTATCGCTGATCTAGTTGCAAAGGCTTGTGGTAAGCTTTTCACCCAAATCTTTTTTTTTTGAAATACAGTGAGTTCATATTTAGTACAAACTGTGCCTAAGAACAGCTTTAACTTCAATGTTGATAATATCCGAATCTGCAAGATCCTTGGATCTGGAGTGAGCACTTCAATGGTTGGTTATCCGCGATGTCTATCGTTCTTATACTTTCCTCTGCAACGCTTTTTCTTTTTTTAGCATTCTTCTTCTAACTTAAGTTTCGTGTTAAAGTTGTTGCTTGTTCTGCTTGACATTGAATATATCTCATTACCCACTTTTTCACCTTAGGTTATGAATGGTATGGTGTTCAAACGAGGTGCGGAAGGTGAGATTAAGCAAGCAAAAAATGCTCGTATTGCTGTCTACACTTGTCCATTCGATCTTACGCAGACCGAAACCAAGGTCAGCCTTAGTGCATTTATGCTGGCTACTTTGCATCATGTATGGAATTGCAGGGTACTGTTCTCATTGAAAATGCTGAAGAATTGATGGGATTTGCAAAGGGAGAGGAAAACGAAGTTGAAAACCAAGTAAAAGGCCTTGCTGATAGTGGTGTTCAGGTACTGTTTCGTAATCTCTAACTTCTAACTTTGTTGTAGCAGCTTTTTCCTTTCTCAAAAATTCTATCCCTGCTTTATTCATATGAACAGAAGCTCTGT